GTCTGATGATGGGGCACCTTTTCAGTTCCCTACCAGACCTGAACAGTCTGATGATGGGGCACCTTTTCAGTTCCCTACCAGACCTGAACGGTCAAGTCCGCCTTGCCAGCATATTTGGGACTTTCCACGGCTCAGATGCATAACCAAAATATCTGCTGAATATATAGTCAAAACAAATACCACAGGTTCCCCTGACCTACACCTGACAAGGTCACTTTGGTTTCTCTTTAGACATGTTGTAACCTGAGCTTTGGTGCTGAGAGTTTCTTTGGGGCAAGAGTTTGCTCTTAGTCGTTGATTTAAATAAAAGGCTGTAAATTGGCCTTATATGTGTGGTGGTCTGTAACTTTTCGCCTGGACTATAACAGTAATAATAGACCAATAGGATAATACCTTGTGATGTACCAGAATAAAACAGAAATCTTAAATAAACTTTAATTTCCTTTCTTTTTTTAGCCCTAGCTCTCCTGTGCTTAATTTCAGGACTTCAGTTTTCTTCACCCATTAAAAGGTAATGTGTTATTGTCAACACACTGCAGAATATGAAGAGCAACTTATGAATAAATGAATTGATTAAGCGTTCAACACACGTAGACCTTGGACTGGGATGTGAGTGTTGAGGGTAAGGGACCCACATTCAAAGGGCTTTGGTTCCAATCCCTTTGGAATACACAGGGATTGGTGCTCATAGTTGTCAAGATTCTGAAGTGTCAGCCAGGGATACACAGAGAAACCCTGTGTGTGTGTGTGTGTGTGTGTGTGTGTGTGTGTGTGTGTGTGTGTAGTGGGGGAACCAAAATACTACCACCACCACCGAAACAAAAGACTGTGAAGTGTTCTGAACTTCATCTTTTACCATTGTGGTAGCTCCTGAGACAGCTTCAAGGGATTTTAAAAAAGGGATTATTACCAAGAATAAGGTAAAATTTATTTCAAATTTAACCTGGAATAGAATCTTTTGTCTGCTATAAATTGTAACTTTCTTATAGGAAGAAATTTGTTTCTGATAAAACAAAGCATTCTTTTGACAAACCTAAATTTTCTGGGGAAATTAATTCCCTTCCCATCCACTTAGCAGTCAAGAATTTAGTAACTTTTAATTAGCATCACTTTTTATCAACATAACTCCCCACTCTGTACATGTTTCAATTTAGAGAACAATTCGAGTTGGCTTTTCTCTTACAGCACTTAAAATTAAACTTTGACATGTGCCCATAACTCAATGCCAGATTTGGTTTTTTTGTTTGTTTGTTTGTTTTTGTTTTTAGCTAAAAAAGGAGAGGCTATAATTCCTACTGGGACGGTTTTGTACAGAGAAGGGCCCCGAAGGACCTGGTGATGGTGGCTTCAAGAATAAAAGGGAAACATCCTTCTCTCTACTGTTTGGAAGAAAAGGGGAGCCCCAGGGGAGGGTGCACCCAGAGACAGGATGGGAATGACTACGGTTATGCGGTCGGTTGCTGAGCAGAGGCCGGGGGAGGGCATTGGATGCTAAATTTGAGGACAGGAAACCAAGAACACAAAATGAAGGATTAATGAAGACGCACACTGGAGTTCGGTTTTGTTGGCTTCTCGCTTCATCAGATTATCAGTTTACCATTCAGAAAAGAGCACCTTTGAATGGTTTAAAAGATGCCATTTAAACGTAGCATTTCCCCTCCCACTTCAGTCTGCTGGGACAAATCACTATTTCGCGTACAGACACCTTTGACAATATAAAAATCAAACAAGGTTTTTAGATAACACTAGCCTGTCCATTTGTCTTCATGCAACCTTCTCTCTAATCTCTACTGGATCCCAGTCCTTCGGTCCCTCCTTTCCTGTCCCGCGGTCCTCTCTCCTCGTTAAGCCTTCCGAACTCGGTTTTCTCTGTGTCCTACACACTCCACAAAGTCACACGCGCCGTGTCCTCGGAAGTCCGACCTGTCATATCTCTACGCCCTTACTAAAACCCCACGCGACCACTCGCTTTCATTTTGGGGAAGGTCCTGATGCACACCGAGGACAGTGTCGGAGCGGATCACCCGGCGGTGCCAGGGGCCACTGGTTCACGAGTCCACTCCGGTCCCTCGCAGCAGGCAGGACAGACAGCGGGTTCGGAGAAGCGAACGTCGCGGTCGCCCGCCCTGCTCGCCCGCCCGCCGGCCGCTTCGGGACGCGCCGTTCCTCCGGGCATCCCGCGAGCTCCGGGGAGGAACCCCTGAAGGGCCTCCCGGGCTGGGCCGAGGGGACAAGGGTGCCGCCCGCCT